TTTTCTCAACTCATGGCTTTCTTACTGAAATAGTGAGTCAAAAAAGTGGACTAAATAATAAATGCACCATGATTTATGCACTCCTTTGGTTCAAATCATGGAGCTACTGTGATGGAAAAAATACAAACTCAGTAAAAAGCTTTACTGAAGCCGTAACTGTTTTTTGCTATTTATTTTCTTAAACAATGAATAGCAGAAATTCACCTACTGCATCACGATTGCATGCGGGAATCCCACAAACACACCCCAAGCATTAGTAAGAGCAGTACTCAAACTCAAACACCATTTCATAGAACAGTTCAAAGACATCCCATAACTGTGCCTACTGTCACGCAGGAAACTGGTTCCCAACATATGACAATAATGCAGCAGAGGATAAATGAGCCACTTTATATGGAACTGAAAATCCTTTTAATCACGAAGCCTTTTCTTTTTTGGCCATTCTAAGAATCGTTCAACTTTTCAAGTTCTAATAGACACAGTGAAAGCCAGACTTAATACACAAATCCATCTAAAGGTATTTTGAGTGGATCCTCAGTGATTTGGCTTTGTTCAAAAGGGACCTGGATCAAAAAAAACCATTTTTTTAACCTGGATCCATTAAGTATTTTTGATAAGAGATCTAGAGGTCTGAGCATAATTCATAGACACAACAAATGAAAACACACACAGTCACCCTTCAAACACACAACTATTTTCAAAGATGTCCTTTTTTCCTCATTCATCCAATATATCGTGACTCCATACTCATATATTAGAGGTACTATGCTACGCACACAGAACAAGATCCCTGCCACCAAGGAGATCAGTGATATGCAAAAAACATCTGAGTATTTCATTAGTGTCATCACACGTTGCTTTGGGAAAGGACACAGCAAAGGGCCTACAAGTAAATCTCAGAAATGGGGTCAGAGGAACAGTCCTCCAATCTAGATAGATGACTGTGGATGAACAGAGCCACCACCCCTCAAGACACACAGACTCCAAACGCACAGGCTTAGGGAAGAAGTGGAGGAAGCCAGACGCAATTTATTAAACTAAGGGATATGCACCATCTCTAACGCCCAGATGTTTAAATATATAAGAACTACAATCACTGCCTGGTTAAACTACTGTTTTTAAGCACCAAAAGTGTAAAGGGCTCACTTAAGTCTATGATACCTAGTAAGTCCACACAACAAATATTGATAGTAAGATATAATACAAAATAGGTCAAACACTATTGACACTCCTAAATATATTCAAATCAGCTTTAACAAGGTTGCCAAAAACAACTTAGCACTGCAAATATACACTACATACTTGAATTCTGCAGTTTTAAATTTATTTTAATGTTTATTTTTCAAAGAGAGACCAAGCACAAGCAGGGGAGGGACAGAGAGAGAGGGAGACAAAGAATCTGGAATAGGCTTCAGGCTCTGAGCTGTCAGCACACAACCAGATGTTGGGCTCAAACTCACAAACTCTGAGATCCTGACCTGACCCAAAGTCAGACGCTTAACTGACTGAGCCATGCAGGTGTCCTGAATTTTGCTGCTTTTTAAAAAGTGACGCCGTAAGTTACTATGGAAAGAAAAAAGCAGTTTGGAAAACAATGACTCTCCCAAGCTAGACATAACAATTTAAAGATCTAAATGAACCTCTTTCTATTTTATGTGTTGCACTTAAGCCTTTAAAGCTTTATCCTCAGTGCCTTGCCGTGTTGTATGACATTACACTAACAGTGTCTCACCGTAACACAAACCTGATACAAATAAAATCTGTTTCCCAGCATATGCTAATAAAATGAGGATAACCTGAGCAGACACAGCCTCAGGTGCTCTCAAAGTAGCAGGTTAATTATGCACAAAAATAACAAGCCAGCCCAAGTTTGTACTTCCATTTCCCAAGATTTTCACCACAAATTAACTTGAAAAATTAATGTTTACTTAGCACTTCATGCTATATGTTAGACAGTGGGCTAGAATTACATAAAATCGCAGGTATAAAATGCCTAACAACTCTATGGTTGTTATTCCCATTTAAAGGTGAAAAAAACTGGGGCTTCAATTAGTTGAATGATCCACAATCCCACAGCTAGTTAATGTGACAGAGCTGGGAAAGACACCCAAGTCTTCCCCCTAAACTTAGTGTTTGTAACCCATCGTTCCTGACTGAACCCTCAGGAATGGTGCTTATAGTTACATGCATTTTCTGAGAAGCAGGTGGAGAGCCTACATTAGATCTTCAAAGAAGCCCGTCATCCCCACAAAAGGTTAAAAATCACTGCACCGTATCACCACCCAGGTAAAACCAGAAAAAGCACACTGGACTTTAACACCTTTCACCAAGACTATCGCTTCTCTGCTCCTGAGAGGGGAAAAAAAGACTCCACAGTTACAGTTCCACTTTAAAATTCTCAGAACCAAGTCAAGATTTCCCCTCCTGGATAACTTCCAGCAACCTCTGCCACAGAGTCAGTTACACAATAAATTGCAAGACTGTATCAGTTTACATCCAATTCTGAGATTTCACGAATACTGACCAATGTTATTTAGTCATTCCACTTTCCAAAATGTGTTTCAATCAAGCGGTCCTCACTGCATTGCCTGTGAAATAAACTATCATTACATCTCTTCCGAGAAAGTAAAACACTGTCACCATGAGGCCATGGCAATAAATCAGCTACAGAATTGAGATCAAAAGTGAGAAGCTCCTTGCTTGCCCCACCCAGGATATGCAAGACTATGTCATTTACCCCAGAGCAACCTCTCCTAGCTACAGAGAAAACACTGGGGATCTTCTCTACCAACAACAACACTAAATTAGAACTTAGTAGTACATCAGTGAGTTAGGGCATACCCACCCCCAGCTACCCAATGACAAGTGTGCTCATCTTGAAAGATGAGGCAGACATCACAGGATAAACACCTGGCACATGCCTGGCATCTTCAAAAAGAGATACAACCACTGAGGGACTCTGACAGTTCTGTGGCACTCCTGACATTCTGCCCCTAGGATCAATCTGAACTTTTGATCCATCCTATATTCCTGATTAGCAAAAAAAAAAAAAAAAAAGTATTTATGTGGAAATGAATTTCACCTTGTGCCACCCTCTCCCTCAAGAAGTCTCTGTCTCCCAATTCTGCTATTTTTTTCTGATGTATTTATCAGCATCTTGCATTTTTAAGCAAAGCAAAGCTAGGCTGTTAGCTAGCTACCTCACAATTACCTGGGGGAGCTGGATTAAAAATGGGCTTTACCTTGAAGTTAACTGGTTCAAACCCTTCATTCTACAGATACAACGGAACCTCAGAGAAATGAAACAATTCACCCAAGGCTCACAAATCAGATGCAGAGGCAGTTCTAGAAAGCAGGTCTCCAAAAACCTGTCCAGGATCCTTGCAGCTCTCCTGAGCACTGGAAACTCAGTCATGGTTACTGCCAGAGGCTTGGTCATCCACCAGACAGCCTTGCTCCATCTCTGACTGGCCAGGATATCACTCCGCTCACCCTGTGCCAGATCCACTCTTTGCCTCCAGACTGGGGTTCCTGGGGGCCACTGGCTGGACACTGACCTCAACGTGCATATTCTGAGGGAGAAAGACAATTACTTCTTAAAGCTAACCGCATCCAGGAGGAGAAAAATAGTACTCTGGCACTGAGGAATTAACTTCACAAGGAGTCTGTGTTAGGACGATGTTTTATTTATAGCCCTGAACAAGTTTATTTATAGTTAGCCTGAACAAGATAACTTCCAAAGCAAACAATCTAAAAGATAATGAAGAACCTTATGCTTTCCCAAAGATAAGAAAGAAAGAAAGAAAGAAAGAAAGAAAGAAAGAAAGAAAGAAAGAAAGAAAGGAAGGAAGGAAGGAAGGAAGGAAGGAAGGAGACACTTGTGGGGATGAGCACTGAGTGTTATGTGGAAACTAATTTGACAATAAACTATTTGTAGAAAGAAAGAAAGAAAGAAAGAAAGAAAGAAAGAAAGAAAGAAAGAAAGAAAGGGAAGAAAGGGAGGAAGGAAGGAAGGAAGGAAGGAAAGAAGGAAGGAAGGAAGGAAGGAAGGAAGGAAGGAAGGAAGAAAGAAAGAAAGAAAGAAAGAAGGAAGGAAGGAAGGAAGGAAGGAAGGAAGGAAGGAAGAAAGAAAGAAAGAAAGAAAGAAAGAAAGAAAGAAAGAAAGAAAGAAAGAAAGAAAGAAAGAAAGAAAGAAAGAAAGAAAGAAAGAAAGAAAGAGAAAAGCTGCCTAGAGGACACCAAAGTCATATGCTCAATGGGTCGGGACGCGACCCGCAAGTTTTGGATGAACGTTCTTCCAGGAAATCAGGATGGAAACAGTCTCCCCGAAGAAAATCGGAGCTTCTCTATCCAGCTGGGCAACTAGCGCGCACCTGGACACCCAGGAACAAGTCCGAATGGGAGATGCAGGCGTGCACGACAGCGGCGCGGACCGACAGATCAGAGTCCCCGTCCCTCAGAGGGCCGAGGCTGCGGAGACCAGCCCGGGGAGCCAGCGTCACTGACACGCCTCCGTGCACCTCCGCGGGTACCGCTCCCACCCCTCGGACAGGTCAGACACCCCGTCTCTTCCCCTCACACCCACCCCTCACCACACTCCCTTTCCTCCCGAGATCTTTGAGATCTTCAGCGGGAAGCAACGCCCACTTCGGAAAAGGAGACCGTAGTTTTGGGGACCAGCAAGGCGTGCAGATCGCACTCGTTCAGAGCCACCGTAGCAGATACAAACATTACGGAGCTGGCTGCTCTGACATAAAAAGCACACCGTCAGGCCGCACACAGGAAGACACACGCACGGAGGTAACAGCCATGGGAAGTCAGTGGCCCGCAGGGAAGCTCCTCACTGCCATCACCCCGGCCTCGGGGCAGAGAGCACCTAGGGCGCCTCCCCCTCTCCACGCCCCGGGGACGCCCAGACGTGGGCCGCGCGCGGAGGGGCGAGCTGAGGTCTCCCGACGGCAGGGACCCGGAGGGGGCGAGCGCGGGAAGGCGGGGCCCACCTCCTCGTCCTGCTCCTCCTGGGACGCGCTGCTGCCCCGCGGCGCGCGCGGCGCGGTTCCTCCGGGGAGCTGCGGCGGCCGGGCACAGACTCCACGCTCGAGCACCACACGCGCGGGAGCCCAGGCGGCGGGCGGCGGGGCGCCTAGGGCGCCGCCCGGCGGCGGTGGCTGCGGCTGCTCGCGGGCGAAGCCGCCGGGCTCCCCTTCCTCCGACAGAGTTTCTGAGCCCGAGGAGGACTCGGCCGAGGAAGCGCCAGGCGAGGATGCGGCGGCCACCGCAGGGGCAGGAGCCCGGGCGCCGTGGCCGCTGCAGCCACGGGGCACCGGCTCCGGCGCCTCCAAAACTTTCTCCCCCATTTCTCTCTCGGGCCCCAAGTGCAGCCCGAGGGGCAGCGGGGACGCGGCGCGCGCTCAGCGTCTCCAGGGAAAGCGGCGGGCTGCGCGGCTCCGGCTCGCTCACGCTGCCGCTCCCGGGCTGCGGGGAGCCCCGCCGGCGACTACATGGCCGCGGCACGGCCGCGGGAGCCCGCCGCCAAGTTACCAGCCGCCCAGACTTGGCGGCCGACCGGGGCTCCTGCGCGCGGGGACAGGCCAGCCCGAGTCCGCGCTCTACGCTCCACGACCCCAGCGAGCTGCGCCCGCGCCGCCGGGACTGCGGCTCCGCCAGCAAAACCTGCCTCCGGGCAGGAGCCGGGCCGGCGGAGGAGACGGGCAGCCAGGAGAGCCAATGGCAGGGCAGGCGCGCCGGTGGGCGGAGGCTGCGGCGCCCCCGGCCGCACGGGCGTCAGGTAGGGGAGGCGGGGCCGAGGCGCGGGCTGCCGGATCCCGCCGGGGCGCTGGGGCCCCGGGACTGGGGAGAGGTGGCGGCCGGGGGCCCCTGGAGGGTGGGAGTGGAGCCTGGAATCCGAGCCAAAGGCTTGGACTCCGAACTTAGCGGAGGAGTGGCTGGCCGTCCTTGGAACGCCGGGGAGAGATGGCTGAGGGGGCGGTGAGACCTTGGAGAAGAACTGGACTTTGTTGCGAAAAAGTAGAAATGAGGAAACTGACCAGAAGAATTAGGACTTTAAGAGTAAAAGGAAACACAGTCACGCACGTACACGCACCCACTAGCGTGCTGGGGGAGAACGGGGAAAACTTCGTGGTACAGTGAGTGGATCTAAACAGACTTCATCTCCAATCCCGATTTCTCCATTAAATTCCTTGGGCCTCAGTTTCCTCAGCTGGAAATAGAGACATTACATTAATACCTCGTCAAGCTATAGGCAGAATTAGAGCAAAAATATATATGTGTATGTATATAAGCTTCAGCAGAGTGCCTGGCTTGGACACATGGATAGTTTTCCAAGCACTATTTCCTTTCTTTATTTTTGTCTATAAATTTAGAGTTTAAGTCATGCCCCTTATTTCATTGTGAACAAGAATGTGCCTAGTAGTGTGCCCAATCCTAGACAAAGTTGAATTAGAAAGGGCTCTGTGGCCCTAACCATTGCCTGTCTCTCCACATCCCCTAAACAGGGCATGAAAAGAATTTACATTTCCAGTTTACTGTCTCCTAGCCCTGGATTCTAAACCAGCAGGATACAAAAACAAATGCTTCATTTTCCTTACCTCTAAGAACTAGGAGAAAGAACTTTCAAAGGCACAAGAATTGCCTCAAGTACCTCCCTGGGGCTGGAGGATGCATCCTTCAAGGTGATTGGGTGACTTAAATTTCTTGGAAGCTAGCATTTGGTGCAGCAGTGGGAGAAAAATGACTCCTCAAGGTGCCTTCAGCTCCAGCCCTATTCTGAGCTCTGGCACCAGGACCTGAGCTGTAAATTCAACCTGATTAAATTCCACAGACACTGATGGAGATGTGTGCCAGGTGCTTGCCGGGGATACAGAGATGTGTAAGACAGGTCACCTGCCCTTGAGGAGTTTATGGTCAACCGAGAGATTGATGCTGCATAATATAGCTCCATTATTAATTTTGTAAAGCTGTAGTCATGCTATGAGAACAATGTGCCATGGGAGAAGAGTTAAAGGAAAACAGTGAACAAGTCCCGAGAATCTCAGTTTTCTCTTTATCAGAACAGTTTTGCCCAAGGTCCTTAAGAACCCCAGTTGAAAGCCTCTTCAGCTAATGAGCCCTTTTATGCTATCACAGTATTTACAAGTGATACATCACACAAAGCACGTCATTATATTGGACAGCAAGCTTTGTCCTCATCAGTTTCCTCCCAAGATGAAGGGGAAAGAAATATGGCATAACCCTATTGCAATAGACAGCCATGCTGCAAAGCGGGCCTCCGGCTGTCGGGCGTGCATTGTGACCCTTGAGGATTATCTGCGGGGATGTGAGTCCCTGCTGAGGCAACAGGGCAACTCGAGTGACTTGGCGAAGTTGTGATGGCAAGGCTGAAGAGAGAGCACAGTGGGGTGGTCAGAATCCAGCCCTGGGCCTCACGATTGCTTTTCTAGTCAGGAGTATTGGTCTTTATCCGAGCCTGTATGTGGTTGATTCGCCACAGCCAGAGTGAAATGAGGACTTAAGCAAACCATTCACGTGAAAGAGAAAGAGGGGGTGCCTCTCGGTGCATCAGGAAAGAAGAGACAATAACATGATCTGAATTCCTAACAGGAGAAATGATGATAGCTATTATCGCTTGAACCCTAAACACTGTCTGTGGATGGTCTCTTTTGACACTGGCAACAACCTAAGAAGATAGACGACTGCATTGGCCCCACTTTATAGATAAAGAAACTGAGGAGCTGCAAGGTCAAATAACTTACCAGATGTCCCACAGCAAGTGAGTGATAGAACTGTGGTTTGAACCCAGCAGTCTGCTTCTGAGGAAGTCTTAAACATTCCAGTAAAATGCGATTCAAGACATACCACTTTTTCAAGTACAGGTACAAAACGCTACATTACAAAAATCCATAGAGCAGGAATGTTGTTGTCTTGATTCAGTATGTAAAAGAATATGAAAGGAAACTTGGAGAACAGATTGTTTTTCCTACAAACGTTTATAAAGCACTTACAATGTTTTACGCACTTTACAAGTGTTGATTTTCTTAATCCTCATATCAACCCTATGAGGTAGCCACTATTATTATTCTCATATTACATATATGAAATGTATGGAAACTATGGCCCAGAAAAGGCAAGTAATTTGCTCAAAGTCATACAGCTGGCAAGTGACGGAGCCAGAATTCAAGCTTGAACAGTCTGACTGCAGCGTTCGTGCTCTTAGCCTCCTCTACACATCAAAATCAAGTCCTAGATCAGTATTTAACTTTTTTAAACCTTAACCCTGAATAATAAGTCTATTTTATAACTCGTGATACATACCAATACAAATACAAATAAAATTCTACAAAGTAATACCTATACTAAGCTCCTATAAGCAATACAGTCTGAAATTTTGTTATATTATTGAAAAGAAAAATGCTACTTGTGATCAGCTAAATGTATTTCATGCTCCATTCTGTCACGTGCAGTTGAAATCAGTGCACCTAGACATCTCCACAGCTACCGTACAAGGGAACTATGACTATGGTTCAGACTGACAGTTTCCAGACCACAAATGGGTAAACTCAAAGGATGACTCTGCAAATGGAAGGTGATCAGAAGGTCAGCCTAATTCCCCAAAAATAATCACAATTAGACCTATAGACAAAGGTTGAGGGATGGCCAAACCACTGGAACAGAATCAGTTTTGATTTTGCAAAATCCTGTGGTTCACCTTTCTTATCTGATAAATTATCATCATCATTCCCAGTGGCAAGGAAAATACCTCACCAGAAGGACATCTCATAAATGCTCCTAATGTTAGATATAAAAGTATGGCTTTTTTTTTTTTCCTGTACCGTCACTGTGGGCAAGAGCTAGAAAAATAAAAATGACTTAGTCATAACTCTTAGGAAGCCAATAGTGTAGCTTCATAGGACAGAACCAGAACAGCCTACAGATTAGGAAGGGCAAGGTCAGGGGCGCCTGGGTGGCTCACCTGGCTAAGCGTCTGACTTCACCTCAGGTCATGATCTCACCAGTTTGTGGGTTCAAGCCCCGCATCAGGCTCTGTACTGACAGCCAGCTCAGAGCCTGGAGCCTGCTTCAGATTCTGTATCTCCCTCTCTCTCTAACCCTCCCCTGCTCACACTGTCTTTCTCTCTCTCTTTCGCAATCTCTCTGTCTCAGAAATAGATTTAAAAAAAAAAAATCTAAAAAAAAAAAAAGGAAGGACAAGGTCATCAGTGTTCATACATTGTGTTGAACATGATCACAGGTGCTTGGTTCAAGGACAGGCATCCCTGGGCACGTGAATAAGTGTCCATTGTGTTCAGTGATTAAAACTGCCTCAGTTTTCTGTGTTGTTCTCCTACATAATAGGAGATGTGGCCTCTGAGAGTCTCTGTTGTCTCTGCTGGTCTCTGTTCTGTGACTGAGGCTATGTGAATACCAAGCTCTGTCTCTCTGACATGGAAAATGTTTGAGGAAAAGTCATCACATCCTTAGTCTAGTCCCATTGTTTTGACCTTCCTCCTAAGGATTAGGTTTAGGATTTGATTACATTGAAATCAATTGTCCTTCTGTCTTCCCTACATGAAATTAGAGCATCATCAACTCCAAACAAATTTTTGCAAAATTACAATATGTTCCTATTCACTACACTAAAAGCCCTAAATATCATACTATCTTTTGATTTTGAAGATGATGATCTTATACTTGTAGGTTTTTAAATTGTCGTCATTAATGACGTATTTGCCTGATCCTTGACCAATGAAATGCAATTTCAAGAGAAAGTAAACATCAATGAAAAGGTGGTATTTAAGTGGCCTAGGCTGGGGATTCTGATTTATACCAGAAGGTGTAGCATAGTACAGACCATGGCCGTTTCTGACCACCCGCCTGGGAGGAAAAGCTCCACAGTTTCGAAGGGTTTTGTCTGTGTCTGAGGGCCTAGGAAAGGAAGAGTTATAGTACAAGGTCCCAGAAGATAAGTATGAGCATGTTTGAATGATAGTTGAAAAGCATAAGGGCAGAAGAGTCATAATGCGAATTGCAGCTGTTGGAGTCTCTGACCTAGAGGCTGAGCAGAATGGGAAACTAAGCTATATGAGCAAATTAAAACAAGCCTGCAACAGACCAAAAGGGTAGGATGCTGCTGATCTGATCTCTCAGATCAATGCTTCTCAGTGCATTGTATGTGCAACACTTGCATCACACCACCAGGATGCTGGTTCCCTGGCTCCACCCAAGGTCTGGGAATCAGCATTTTTTTAAGCTCTGTTCCAAGAGAGTATCAAGTCTGCTAAGCCTTATGGATTACTGAAGATGTTCCTAATCTGGAGACCAAAGGGCCATTTTATGCTGC